GACTTTTGCAGGGCGCCAGAACCTTAATAGGGATTATAGCACCCCCTATTCTAATCCCTATTATACCTCCCGAGTTTAGGCTACTGCATAGCTTAAGCCCCAACTGTTAGGGTTTGAGCTTTAAGGCTTGTAATCGGCGACTCGCAAAACCCTAACATACACTCCAAACCTGCCCTGAGCCCGAAAATGTCGGGGTCAGCTGCCCCAAGCCCTGAACCCTAAACCCTAAACCAGGGATTCCCTAAACCCCAAATGCGACGCCCACTCCCCCCTCAAAACCCTAAACCCTGATCCCTAACCCTCGAAAAACACAAAAAAAACAATGCTACCCCCCCAATTAGTCCACCTGACGGCTCCCAAAATTTCAGGGGCCCTTCGGGCTTTACTTTAGGGCCTAGGGCCTAGGGCCTAGGGTTTAGGGTTTAGGGCCTAGGGTTTAGTTAGGGCCGTGGACTCCACGCAATGGTTTAGAGCTCAGGGAGCAGCGGTTCCCTGAACCCCAGTAAACCCGAAACCCTAACCTAAACCCCAAACCCAAAACCCTAAACTCCAAACCCTAAACCCCAAACCCTAAACCCTAAACCCCAAACCCTAAACCCTAAACCCTAAACGCCAAACCCTAAACCTGCTTCCGGCCTCGAGCACGGGGGCAGGAGCACGGGGGGCCGCGAGGCCCATGACCTGAGGCATGAGCCCTCTCCAAGGGGCGCATCATTCGGGTTTAGGGGTTTAGGGGCTAAACCCCAAACCCTAAACCCCAAGCCCCAAACCCCTAAACCCTAAATCCAAAACCCTGAACCCTAATCCCCGCCCCAGCCTCCTGCGCTTTGGCCAGGGAGCGCGCCAACCGGTCGATCCACTTGGGGAAGTCTTCCTGCGGGAGCCAGGATGTTTAGGGTTTAGGGTTTAGGGTTTAGGGTTTAGGGTTTAGGGCGGTTAGGGTTTAGGATTCAAGGTTTAGGGTTTAAAGTTTAGGGTTTAGGGCTTCTGTGGCTTCTGGAGTTTCCAGGGCTAATTCGGGATTATAGGGTTTGTAGGGCTTACTTTTTGGTTCCAGGGTTCAGGGTTGAAACGGTTGGTAGGGCTCTTGTGGGGTTATAGGGCCAGGGCTTCTGGGCCATTGGTAGGATCGCGGTTGCCCCAAACCCGAAACATCCCGAAACCCTAAACTTCTCATAGCCTTGACGCGTGAAACCCCCTCAGCACCGAACCCTCAACCCGAAACCCCAAGAGCTCCCTGACGCGCAGTCGTCTGCAGAAGACCGGCAGCAGTTGTGGCGCAGCAGTTCCTTGTTGGCAGGGTTTGGGGCCTAGGGCCTAGGGCTTACAGGGCTTAGGGTTTGGGGCTTAGGGCTTAGGGCTTAGGGCTGCTGAGGGCTCGGAGTTTGGAATTTTGGGAGTTTGGGTTCTGGGGGTTTGGAATGTAGTATGCTGGCATACGTAGTCCCCTGCCTATACAAGGTGCTCCCCCACTCTCAACCCTAAACCGCCCTAACTCAACCCCAATAAAGCCCTCAACCCTACTAAACCTCAACGCGCAAAGCGCAGTGGGGGCGGGGGGGTGGAGGCCTGCTGCGGCGTGAGCGGTGTGTTCCCCAGCACGATGCCTCAGTTTTGGGGCTAGGGTTCGGGATTTGGGTTTAATTAGGGCTAAGGGCTATTGCTTCAATGCTCAGGGCCATACATCAAGGGGGTTCAGGGTCAAGGGGTTTAGGGTGTAGGGCTTTGGGGTTTCAGGGTTTTGGGCTTTCGGGTTTTAGGGTTCCAGGGGTTTAGGGCAAGAACGCTCTCCCAGACAAGATGCTGCATCGGTAGATGTGGCCTTCAGCCGTGCGTGGGCGTCGCAGCTCATTCCTTCCATGCAGGTTGTGTGGGTTTGGGGTCTACGGGCATACCCGGTCAAACCCTAAGTCCTAAACCCTACAATGCAACCTCGCTTAGGGGTTAGGGCTTGGGGTTTGGAGGATTGGGCTCGTCAAGCCCTAAGGCCCTAAGAGTTTAAGGTCAAGAGTAGGGTGAAGGGTTAAGGTTTAGGATTTAGGGTCCAGAAACCCTTTCTGAGGGTTAAAGGTTTCGGGTTCCCCTGAACCCTAAGCCCTATGCCCTAAGCCCTAAGCAAACCCTAATTTGGGGGTCAGTCAGGCCGACGGGAGGTCTGCCGACGCCAAGCCGTGCGGCCACTGCCCAAAAAGCCGTGCCACCATAAAAGCCCTAAGCCCTAAACCCTAAACCCTAACCCCTAAACTAAACCCCAAACCCCAAACCCCAAACCCTAAACCCTAAACCCTACTACCCCTACAGGTGAACAGAAAGCTCACTTCGAGGCCTTGTGGCAAGGCCCAAGGTTAGGGTTCAGAGGGGCTGGGGTTTAGGGTTTAGGGTTTAGGGTTTAGGGTTTAGGGTTTAGGGTTTAGGGTTTAGGGTTTAGGGTTTAGGGTTTAGGGTTTAGGGTTTAGGGTTTAGGGTTTAACGGTGCCGATTGCACCAAAAAATGCTCAACAACGGGGGGTAAACGCACCAAAAAGTTAATAGGGTTTAAATCTATAAGGATAGAGAGGGTTCAGGGTTTAGGGTTTAGGGTTTAGGGTTTAGGGTTTAGGGTTGGCTGTCAGGCAAGAAGACTTCTGACCGCTCGTATTGCGTGGTGCTTGTGAGAATGTACCTCCGCTGAACTGTGCCCGACTGCAGCAGAACTCCTTCATCCCTCTTTGATGCGTGTACAAAGCTGCCTGCTGCAATACCTCTGGACCATCCCGGCTATGTGAGCATTGCCCGCTTTCGAGCTTCTACTATGTGACTGAAACGGACCGTAGGTTCCAAAGCTACCCCCTAAACCCTGAACCCTAAACCCTAAACCCTAATGTTTGCAGGCCAGCGTCTGTCGTGAAAGCTCGCCTTCGACGCTGACCTCGGGCGTCATGGGCTTGAGAGATTTAGGGTTTAGGGTTTAGGGTTTAGAGTTTAGGGTTAGACCTGCCGGCCTCTACTTGGAGGTTCATGGTGCTGTATTAACCAAGAATAACTGTACTTCTAACTGTACTTATAACCATATTAAGGCACTTAGGGGCTCAAAAGTGGGTTCTAAGCACAAGTAGTAATTGGCTAGTAAGAACCATTAACCTCCTAGGATTATCCTACAAGACCCCAACAAAAACCCTACAAAAGCCCCAAGTAACTTTAAGCCCAGGACCCCAATCCCCAACTACCGAAACCCCCAAAGCTCTAAACCTTCAACGTTCTTCAATGCCCAAACCCCTACGCCTCTAACCCTCTAAATCTGTAAGCCCCTAAAGCCCTAAATCCTCAAAACCTCTAAACTCCTGACTCCCCAAACCTCAAACCCCTAAACCCTGAACTCCCCAAGCCTCTAAACCCCCTAAACCCCTAGGTCCCTACATGCGCCTTGGCGTTGTCCATGTTGGCCATGGTGAGGGCCCCCTCGGCCCAAGCTTCTCTGCACATTGAGCCGAAAAAGTTGGGCTAAGGAGTTGGGGGGTTGAGGGTTTAGTGGTTAGGGGTTCAGGGTTAGGGCCTTTAAGGTTTAGGCGGTTTAGGCAGTTTAGGGGTTTCGGCGCTGAGCCAATGCTGGGGTGGCTGGGATTCCGAGATTAGGTGTTTCGGGCTTAGCCATCAAATGCTCGATATAACAATAACAATAAAAACAACAATAATAACAGTAAGAAAGAACAAAAAACAATAGACGTAGTAGTAATAATCATAATAATAGCGAGGAAGCGCGGTTTTCACCCTGAACTCGTGACCGTGTATATACATATATGTACACACACTTTAGATGTATACCGTTATACATACATATATATATATATATGTATACATAGAATGCACATCTAAATCTCTCTGTATATGTATAACCATATTTCTCTGCATATGCGTACGTATACGTCTATTCACAGCTACATGTTCGGTCCCAGATGTCTCTTTTCATATGTTCCCGTATTCGTACAGAGCTCCTGAGGCCGAACGTAATGAAGTTGAGGACAGTCGCTTTTGTGGTTGCTGGGTAAGGTGGGCACCCCTAGGCGACCCTAAGAATTTCTACAGATTGGGGTTGGGGGTTTAGGGTTTCGAGGAAAGTTTCAGAGGTCGCGAGTGGCCAGAGAATCTACACAGAGGGCAGGTTGAAAGCCAGGCACATGCAATGCAGCACTTGGAGCCCAGTTATAGCTAGAGGTCTAACCCACTCATTCGGCCCTTCAGCCCCCCAACATGGTGTGTATATGTATATATATATATGTATATATATATATATATCTATATATATATATGTATATGTATATATATATATATATATCTATATATATATATATGCCTTCAACACGTACTAAGCCTTTCCGAGCCCCTCTGCAGCACTTCATTGTTCTATGGGCTCCCAGAATCCGTGCAGATTCTTGTCTACATGTTGAAGAAAGAGAGGTCTGTATGTGTCGAATCCCGAATCCCCCAAACCCTAAACCCTAAACCATGAAGCCTAAACCCTCAACCCAAACTCGGAAGTCTTTCTGGCACAGCCCCCTGGCCAAGTCTGAGACGTTCTGGTGAGCCCGTGGGGGCCCTTCCGAAGCCCATCGCACAAAACAACCACCTGCACCAAAAATCACCGGCTCGGACTAATGAATCCCAGTGACCTAAAACTACTTACTATCTGCTCCGAAACGTTGGGGGGCGGAGGTGGGGGAGGGTGAGGGTGGAGGTGGGGGAGGGAGAGGAGGGTGAGGGGGAGGTGCTGTGTGCGGAGGTTCCCAGGAAGCTCTCCCAGAAAAAAGAGAACAGCCAAAGATCAGGGGCACTTCCCAGACCTGTGAGGATCTAGCCCCTTAAGGGTTCCTTCGAATGGCTCCCTGAACCCTGTAAAGTTTAGGTTTAGGGTTTGGGGTTTACATCCTTCCAGGTCTGGGCCTTGCAAAAGCTCAAGCCGGCTGGAGCTAGCCCGAGGCCCTAAACCTAAACCCTAAACCCCAAACCCTAAACCCTAGCAGCCTTCATCGAGTGAGTGGCACTTCTTGATCTGAACTGGACGAGTCAGACTCATCCTGCCGCTGGCGCCAGTACCTCATCCGGCTTAAGGTTTGGGATGCAGCGTTTAGGGTTTAGGGTTTAGGGTTTAGGGTTTAGGGTTTAGGGTTTAGGTTATAGGGTTTCGGGTTAGGGGGGTTTCCGGAATTGGGGGTACCCGCGTTGGGGGATCCTTTGATAAGGATTACAGGAGCTGAGGAGTATTTAGGAAATCCTCATATTACACAGAGCCCTCGATTCTGGCGGCCGTTCCGCCAGACATGAGCTCCTAACAAACGAAAAGTCCGGCTTCGTTGGCTGGACAGCTGCCCTAAACCCTAACCCCAAGAACCCTGCACCCTGAACCCTGAACCCTAAACCCTACAGGGCCGTTTGGGGCTTAGAGCTTTTGCAGAGGAAGAAAGGAGTCCCCCCCCAAACCGGCCAAACAATCTTGATTTCCTTACAAGAAGCCTCCCTCCCCCCCAGGTTGAGCCCAAACCCCAAAACCCCAAGCCCCTCAGAAGATGCCTATTGGAGGTTCCTGGGCGATGAGATGTAGGATGAAGTAGGTTTAGGGTTTAGAGTTAATGGCAAACCAAAGGTAGAAGTACGTGCAGCCACACTTAGGGGTACGTCTAGTTCTCTTTGTTACTGCCCCTTGGCTCTCCGAAATTAAAGCACAAACCCAGAACCCTAAACCCGAAACCTTACACCCTAAACCCCGCTGTGGTTTTCACCCAAGGAACTGCAGGCCGACTATTGTCGTGAAGACTAGGCAGATGCCAAGCGCCTTGAGTCGACTTGAAAATTCTGGGAGTTTAGGGTTTCGGGTTTAGGGTTGGGGGTGTAGGGTTCAGGGTGATGGGTTCTTGGGTTTAGGGTTTGGCGTTTCAGGATTGCAAGGTATCTCTATGCTGAGGGGTGCACGGGCCCAAAATCCATAAGGGTTTGGGGTACTCTACAGTTCTACAGTGGTGCGGGTCGGTTGCTGCGTCGTACCCAGGGTCCGGCAAACCCTAAACCCTAAACCCTAAACCCTAAAGCTCTGGTGATTTCGAAGTAGGGCAACTAATTGAGGACCCTCAGAACCAGACTTCGTCGCCTCTTCGTTTTCATCTCATGAGGTCACCTTAAACACTAAACACCGTGGATGCTCCTTACACCCCACTTGGGGTTTAGGGTTTAGAACCAAAAAGAAACAAAAACACCACGCCACAAACAAGAAAGAAAGCACTGACGGCAAGTGAGTTTAAGCTTACTAGGCTGCCCAGTAACCTAGCCCCAAAAAGGGAATAAGGGTACTACTGGGCATCCTAGCTTAAGAACCCACTTTGGGGACGTTTGGGGGACCCCCGCCCCTGACAAGTTCGCTGCGCGATCGAGCTGCAGAGCCACTCTACTGGGTGTTTGAAGGGTTTATCGGGTTTGATAGGGTTAATTGGGTTCTATTAGGGGTTTTAGAGGGTCTTAGGACTTAGGATCTAGAGGGGGTAGGGGTCCTTAGGGTTTAGGGTTCAGGGGCCCGAGTCCCTAAAATTGTAAACCCTCAGGCCCGGAAAGACGATCTCCCAAAGCGACTCCGCAAGAACCTATAGTTTAGGGTTTAGGGTTTAGGGTTTAGGATTTATAGGGCTCTTAAGAAAGGGGTACAAGGGGCGTACGTAATGCAAGGATACCTTCTACTCCCTGTTACTCTTTAAGTCTTTCGAGGGTTCCCTAGGTGCCTCCCCCATGAACTCCCCTCCCTGAAGGACCCAAAAATGTAGAGAAGCAGCAGGCAACCACAACCCTCCCTCACACCCCACCCAGTCCCTCATCCCCCACTCCCTGAACCCTGAGAGTTTAGGCTGTAGGGTTTGGGGCTAGCCCTAAACCCTAACCCTAAGCCCCCGAACCCTAAATCCTAAATCCTAAGCCCCTGAAAGGCTCCCTGTGAGTCCCCGCCGGAAGAAGATGGAAAAGCCAGCGATCGACTTTGCCGCCGACGGATTGCAAGAGATGGCCAGGCTGCTCCAAGGCAATAGCGCACGCCTCGTTGGGGACCATATGAAGTACGGTTTATATTTCTTGTATCCCCAAAAGGACACCAGGTATATACACTCACCAATATTAAAAAGGAACCTTATATACACTCACCAAAAACAGTAACATAAACCCAGCTTCAATATGAACCCTAGAAGGGTTCTGGTTCATGTACCTTAACAGTATTTACACTAGTATAGGGCATCTGACCCCCAAGGGTATAGGGTTCATCTTGTCCACAAGGCAGGGAAACACTGACTCAAAAGCTAAGGCCCAGCACGGCAAGCCCAGAAGCCCCGATGTGAACCTTCCAGCGCAGAAGCCTGGAAAACCTAGATCCCCAATCTCAACAGCCTACGCCCCCAGATCCTTCAACTCCAAACCCTAAACTCGAAATCCTAGTCCCCAAGCCCTCGGCCCCAACTAAACCCTGAACCCTAAACCCCAAACCCCAAGCCCCGAACCCTGAACCCTAAACCCTAAATAAACCCTAAACCCTATACGGGGGGCAACCGAAGGAGGACAGGGAACAAAACAGTCAACCCCAACAGAAGCCCTTGATTCCCCTGGACAAACCAACAACAAACCAACCCAAAACACCAAGCACCCTTTGTTCTCTAGGCGCATGGCCCGATCTTGAGCCCAAATGGTAGCGGGTACATTGACCCTTTATTCTTCATCACCAACTCTTTTCTTCAATACAAATTGCAGCTCCGCACTCCCCCTGTCCTAGGATTTCTTAGGACACAACTGGAGGTGCAGACTTTTGGGCCAAAAGCTGTCATTAGGACAGCAGCCAGCTGCTTGGAATGCATGTTATGGTTTAACGTCTTTCCAGGACGAACCTTCAGCTCATTGGCCGAATCCCTTACCATTGAGGATTTCTTCACCTCACATTTGAAAAAGTCTACGTTCCAGCGGCCCGTTCCTCACCAAGGAACTCAGCATTCACCACCCAGCCATCCTTGAGGCAATGCTTGCAAAGCGTCTTAGCCCTGGGCTGTGAATATCGCAGAACATCACAGTCACTGCTTGCGTGCATACAGTTCCCACCCACCGTTGTATACAAAGTGGCACTCGCGGGAATAACCACCACTTTCTTGACCCACAGCCATCTATACAGCCGCCGAAAGAGGCACCAGGCCAATTCCCAGAGTATAATCGCTGCCACCAAATATGCAACAAGGTCTGCATTGCTGCTAACCATTTCAATACCTTGAGCCAGAACCATCACCGCAGATGTGTTGGCGACCCTGCACACCCCTTCTTCTGAGCAAAAGAATCCAGCAATTGACGCTTCTTCTCCACCAGCTGCCATCCCTTGCAAAGATGCAGCCACCATCATGACCGCCATTGCAAGAGAGGCCCTTTTCAAGTCAGTTCCTTGCACCAACATTTGGAGACCCCAAAGCGCCTTTTGCTTCGCATAAACCTGTCCACTCATCAATTTTGTCAACAGGTCAGCAATCATATACTCACCACGAAGATGTGCTATCACCATGTAACCACGGTCCACCAGAGACCTGACACCGGCTGCTCGAATTCTCAGGTCCTTGTCCTCCAGCTTCCAGCAGGATATTGAATGATTGAGCAGGTCGAAACCGAATCTGTATACAGCACTTTTTGCAGCGATTCTTCACCTGTTCCAACCAAAGCGGCAATTATAGGGGTACACGACTGAATCATCGTTGCTCCCTCTATAGACGCATGCAACTCAGCTTCAGCAGTACTCAAAGCTACCGTTGATTGTCTCTGCGTTGCCCACATCACTGGACAATCACCCCAAACCACCACTGCTCCTGAGTGGGTCTTTTCGTTTTCACCTGCTGCAAAGCTAGCATCTGCGTAAGACTCTACCACCTTGACGCCTCGCCCATAACGCAACACCTCATTCCTTTCTTTTTCGCATGTTGCGATTGCTCCGAACGTCAAGCCTAACGTTGGAGTTGCAGCAAGGTATCGAAATACCTCCTCAGCCTTTTTAACCACAAATCGCGGCCTTCGGGATGTCCACAAAGACAACTGGCTTGTGCAGAAAGCCAAATCAGGTCGAGTTTTGATTGCCACCCAGAGGAACTCCCCGACGGCACCTTGAGCCGCTCGCAAGGAAGGAATATCCACCTCCTCTTCTTCACCTGGCGTTTCTTTCACCATTGGCAGGTTACTCCCTTTTCCAGCTTCATCAATCTGATACCCTCTTCGGTTCAGCAGATCTCTCACGAAGTCCTCCTGGTTGAGAAAAAAGCTGCCGTTTCGATACCAGATTTGGACACCCAAAAACTTCAGGAATCCATCACCACAGCCTGGACCACAGAACTCGGGTTCAGAAGTTTTCCACTCCTTCCTGATCTGTTCCAAGGCCTCCCGGAGCACTGTCATAGTCCCAGCCATCAAAAAATCATCCACGTAAAGACCCATTGTCCCTACCAACTTGCTCGCACCTTCTGGCTTCTCTTGTGCCATAATAAGGAACAGACTTGGGTCTGCATTGGACCTCTGAAAGCTCATTGCTTGTCCATCCTTTGACACCCAAGACATACCTTGAAGACGCTGATCTCGCCACTCCACCCATGCTGCAGGACTTTCGGCCAAACCGTACAAGGCCTTCCTCACAATCCACCGCTCCTCCTTTGTGCAAAGACCCAATTTCACCGCCGCCCTTGGGGGCTGCACCACCACCAGACGCCCTTCTCTTTGCGCCCTATTCATCGGCGCCGTCAGAAAAGCTTTGGAAATGTCTAAGCCAGCGATGATCCACACCATATATGCCGCGTGCCTCACTTGACACCTGAATGTAGTTGAATCTAAACCAGGAGCGTACAGCGAGTGACGACTGAGGGACCTCGGCCCTTCGTACTCTGTAGCTGCCGTTGACGAAATAAAACTGCCACATGCACAGATACGGGCACGTCGCCTCCCTGTCCCTTGCTTCCGGGTAAACACCACCAGACTGGGCACGTACTCAATCACCGGTGCATTAGGCTCTTCCGCCAATTTGTCCAGCTTTTCTTGAGTTGTTGGTTCCACCACCTCCAACTCTTTAACCAAAGACTTCACCTCGTCCGACAATGATTCCCTCCACTTCTCCAGCTCTTGCATGGCTTCTTGTGTAGGGATTGTTTTTGTCTGCAGGAACTCGACCTCCTCTGCTGCCTCAAGCGCGGTATTTTCCTGTACCACTTGCTGAACTTGAGCTGCTTTGACCAAAAACCTCGAGAGCTGTTCTTCGGTCCTTTTTGCTTTAACCAGCCATTCTCTAGTCTCTGATCCTTTTTCTCCATTCGACTCATTGGCCGATCCATGGAACTCGTCCAAAACGCAACATTCCTGTTCAGCAATTAGGCGTCGAATACTCAAATGCTCTTCTAGAGCCCATTGGTGTGCTTCGAACACAGATAGTCAACTTCCTCCGCAATGTCGTCCAGCGAGGTCTCTTTCAATGTCATTTTTAACCATTTCCTTTTTCCACCTTCTTCAGCTTGTGGTTCCGGAAGAGGAAACTTACATTGGAGAAGATAGCACCTATCCCTGTAGCTCAAACGCTCCATAAAAACAGGTGTGTACCCTGTCAAGGATACCCTGTTCCCCTTCCAAGGCATAGGACCATGCAATTTTCTCGGAAAGAACGACATGAAGTTCCAGTGGATGTCAACCAATTTTCCAGGCAAGACTTTCTTCCCATAGGATTGTTCCACCACTTCAGCTCCTTCCTCTAAAGCCTTTTCATCCTCAACCCACAGCTGACCATCCTTATAGTCACCAAAGCCACACACATAATTGCAGCAATGCTTTTCATTGTGACTATCCCTATGCAATGATACCGGAGCATTGCATGAGATCTGAAGAGCAGAAAATTTGGCTTCAGGATTGTGGTGTCTCACAAATGATGCCAGGTAACGACATAGCCATGGCCTTCGATGAGTCTCTTTTGTAATACCACACACTCCGCCATGAGTATAGTGGCCCAACACCAGAGCTCGCGTGCTTGTGCACCAATTGTTGATACCACCTCTTCGATTCACCCTCTTTGGGTATACAATCCCTTCCAAAAGCTCCTCACAGTCCACGTAATCGTACATAGACCTTTCATACATTGACTTGGCTTTTTGTTCTTCTTTTTCCAACTGTGTTCCATCCTCGGCAGTCTCACTTTTGCAGACCAAATAAGCGTCTTCATGAGGAGAACAACATGTTGGCCAATACTCATCACCAGAAACATTGTCCTCTACATCTGCATTTTCTTCCAGCTCCCCCAGACCCTGCATGTCACCCTCGAAAATTTCTAAGGGCGGACTCTCCCCCCGCTTGCGAAGCAAGCGCAAGGAGCCCACATGACCACGCAGTGAAGAGGCCGGGCTTTTTGCCACCAACCGATGGCGAACTGGAGGATCGCGAGGCGGAGGTAAAGGAGGACCTTCCTCATCAGCGAACCGAAGCGCCGGCTTTTTCCCCTTGAGACGATGCTCTGGAGGAGAAGGCTCCTGTTCTTCTACCACCCCTTCCAGTTCCAATTCAGGCGGTTCCTTTATATTGGAGAAAATCGTAGTGCAGGGAAATAACACCAGTTCATCCGGATCTTTTGCAGTCCCTTGAGCTTCCACCCAGTAACCACCCGGTAGGTCATCACATGGACCCAAAAGAAACGCGGGCTGTGTACGATCGACCCATTGCCGACCTTTCTTTGTTCCATCCGGACCCAGCAACTCCCACGGACGACGTTTGACTTGAATCTGAGCACCAAAGGGAAGCAATGCTTTCGGGTTTAACCCCAACTCCCTTTCAGCTTTATGCCACCGTAACATTGACCAATGGCGAGCAGCCAGTGCCCAGTACGCCGGACCGAGTCGCGCCTCCTTTAAGAGCGACCTCACACCACGTTTGAATAAACCCACACATGCTTCAGCGCGCCCATTTGTTTGCGGGACTCCAGGATCACCAGTGGTCCTATATATCAGACGAGTTTCACAAAAGGACCGGAAGCGTGCATTGACAAACTCCCCCGCTCGATC